CAATGGAGACAATACAGTAAAAATAACTACAATTTACATGAAGTCACAACGATTGAAAGATAGGATTGAATTTAACGTTGTCTAAGTTTTAATTTCAATTAAGATTGGCGATGTAAAGAACAAAAATGAAAAGCTTACAGTCAGTGTGTTACAAAAAGTCTATTAAGGACTATATGCTTTTGGTCTGGATGTTTACTACATTTGTAACATAAATTATATAAAAACGTTTGTCACAACTATTTATAACAATTGCGATTATACTCTAAAGTGATAAATTGATAATCTATACGCAAACCAAACGATATGGCGTTTTGTAGCATTCATAAGTACAATAAAAGCAGGAAAATTCATAAATTAAAAAAAAGATAAAGATAAAAAAAAATCTGAATATTGCAACAATCAAAATACTTGCATTAATTCATATCTTATAATTTTCAGAACTGCATTAGGATCATAACCATTAATCCTTATGTTCATATCTATGAATCCATAAGATAATATATATGAATCCATACAATCATATCCTTGAATCTATACGTTCATATCATATTATATTATATATCTATAAAAATTATATTCCATTTATTCACTATTCTACTTTCGTCTATAAAAGGATTCAAAACTTGATTAAATAGTTTTAGACTAGAATAAAAAATATCAAAACCAGTACTTAACGCAATAACACTTATCTAATATGTTTTAATATATTTTTCTTTATATTTCATTAGAATTTATATTTAATCAAGTATTTGTAAAGACTATAATTATTTAAACAAAAATTTAATTTATTATAATATGGAATAAAATATCTACTTGCAGAATAATTTAGAACAATACATAATCATATAAGAAAGACTATGACTGCCCGATTTGTTTGATTTACAGATCAGCGTAAAATGTCTAGAACGAATGTACTTATTTTCATAAAATATGTTCGCTCATAGTTTGTATTGTACTTACTATTAGTTTTATTTATAACTTATTTCACAAAATATTAATAAATATATACGAAAATATAATCGCAAAAAAAGAAATCATAATGCACAACACCTACTTAATATATAAAATATTATTTTATATATAAAATATTATTCTATATAAACTAGTATTCTGTATATAAAATATTATCTTTATAAATAAAATTATATTAGATATTTTTGATAAACAAATATTTTTTAACTAAGTAAATATACTTTCTTTTAGTTTTAATATTTTATTTGCTATTAAAAAAATAATATTATTCACAATATGTATTATTACAGATAACATTTTTATCTATTTTATAACATTTTCACTGATTTTTTTTTGTCAGATCTTTAATTTGTTCTCACCATTTCATTTTTAAATTTTACAAATAATATCGTTTATAAACAAGTTATTATTATAACAAGTTATGCACACACAATGTCTTAATTTTTAGATATTTAAGTTTCACAAAGAGTAAAAAAAATTAAAATTTAACATTATATTTAAAGCATACGAATATAATAAAATATAATAAAAAAAAATATTCTAACAAGACAAAAAGCTATTAAAAAACAGCATTTCTAGCTTCTAAAGTTGCAGCATCCGGGAAGTATAGATGTTTTGATAATAAAAATGATAAAAATGCCTGACCGCCTACGATAAGAAAAAGAAAGTACAACTTTCTTTTACGTCCACCCGAATATTCCAATTGCTGCGAATTTCCATATGGATCATAATTAATTGCTCCTCTGGCTTCTGCCGGTGAAGTCTCATGCAGGACTTTGGTTTTTAATGTACGTAGCTATAAAAAAAAATTATTTATAAAACATTTAAAGTAGAACATTTCTTTATGTATATATATATAAAATGATACAAACTCTGTAAAATAATATGCGGAACGTATTTAAATATAACTTGAATTTTGGATAGTTATTATTACTTGTAATAATGAGCAGAAAGACTATTAAGCAGAAAACACAAAGTAAATATAATCGATAGCATATGAATATAAAATAAAAAGGCGGACGATAGAAATATATCAGAATATAAAGAAGATAAGAGCTGCAAGGAGTGGTAATAAAAGTGAATAACTAAAGGTATGTATGTTTTATTATTAAATACAGTGAAAGCTCTTTTAAGCGTATAATGTCGAGGCCATTTTATTTGAAAAATGAAAACTGAGGACATGTCTATTTATGACAACGAACGTGTATTAATACATTTTATGTCATATAAATTATGATACTAAAGAGATATTTATTTTTTTAATATAACGAATATAAGATTTTGTAGTAAATGATTGTTTAAATAAATTTATACATACCAAAAAGAATCCTAACGATAAACTTGTGTAAGCTAATGCTAAATAGTAACCAAATCCATTAAATATCGTGCTGACCAACAAACACAATACAATAGTTGCAAATTTGTATCCAGAAAATGCCAGTAAATCAAGAGTTCTCAAATTTGTTTTTATATTCACCACGTAAAGAGTTATTAAATAGACCACCAATTCAAATATACTGTAAGCTAAAGCGCTCGATGCTTGTATGCCCAACTGTTCCGGTGAGAATCTTTTCTGCATACCCAACATAAGTCCTGCCACAACTACATATGTAATATAAGCCATAGTTGGTATATATAAATCAGGAGCATTTATATCATAACGCGGCTGTACTGGATTCTCTTGATCATATTTAAGAGACCAATCCTAAAAATAAATTTATTTTAATAAAATTGTTTGAATTCATTTATGATATATTATTTACTTTATGTGTGAATGGAAAAAAAAGCAATCGCAATTTATTTATTACATAATTATTATCCACAGCGAAATAATATTTTAATTTTGCAACTGGTATCCATTTTTCAAATTGATTTTCTACGAGTTGTTTTCCTTGATCTGCTAAACGTTGGCCATATTGCATTGCCATATCTTGCACGATTGGTTGTTGAAAAACAGCAAATTGTGGCATAGCATTTGCAAACTGACCAGCAGCTTGATTTCCAGGTGCCCCACTATATTGCATTTGTGGTCCTTGCATATTAGTTGGAAAGTTTTGTGTGGTTGATGGAGGTACATAACCATAATTTTGATTTGTTGTATTTACATTTTCGTTATAAAAGCCCCCTATGCTAGTAACCGGTTGTGAATTAACACCAAAATTATTGCCTCCCATCATGGGATCTAAAACTGTAGGACCTGGTGCCGGCTGCATATACGGCGTTTGGTTCGGCATTTGCATTGTTGGTGCGCCCATTGCGTTTACATCACTCACACGTTTCATCTTTGGACGTGGTCTTGATTGTGCTATTTATTTAAAGATAGTCATTAGAAGCTATTTATATTACAAACTAAATAAAATCCAATAAGGAAATAGCAAGCTACATACACATTTTAACAAAAGTAATTTGTTAGTAATTCAAACTAGTAATAGGCAACGATGTATTGCTGAGAAACACTATTTAAATCTTTAGTTCCAACGTATCATGCTATTCAACAAAACTGTTTAGTGCTAAAATTGTAAATCATTATAAGTTTATTAAGTTGAGCAGTTCTATAGAACAAATTAATGTATTGTATATGGCAAATACAAATACAAATACTTTTACTTCAAAAAAGCTTTTACTTGCACATTTCCTTTGCTTACAGTTTTCCCACTTACGGTTCCGAAGATCTTCATTTGGATTATAGTTCATTGTTCAAAAATGTAAATAATATGTTAAATTAAGTTATATATAAAAAATTATTTCGGCTTTGTTACACATCACCATTTGCAGTCTCACAAAAATATGACAGATGCGTTCAAACGATGACGTTTCAGCCTGGGGAACTGCCAGCATAAATATTAGGATGCTTTTAAAATTATAACTTGCTAACAAGTTCATAATTATACACAAAAACACTTGTTTCACACATAATAAAGCCTCTAAAATTTCTTTTTAATACATATCGACAGTTTAGAGAAAATAAATATTAATAATAAGGATACAGTAAACCATTATAATAAAACGCGAATCAAAGAAAGTTGAGCTAATCTGCTGCAATGTCAACATAGCACTAAGACCTAACCAAAAACTGGTCGATAATAATAGTAAAATTATACATATCTAGTCATTATAAATATATGATATCAAAATTTGTAGTCAATACCCTCAAAGTATTAAAATGCTCCTTTCGTAACAATGAACAACCCTTCTCTGTCAAACTTTTGTAAACTGTCAAATAATTCGGCATATGTGTTTGGTATTGCACGTGGGGCTCAATCTTGTTTTTAAATTATTTGTTTGCGCTACAAGAAAATATTTATTAAATTTGTAGAATTATTTCAATTAAAGTGTAGAAAAATGCCACCAGTTAAGAAAGAAAAACCAAAAAAGAAAGTACAAACACCTAATAAAAAAAATGTGTCTGCAGAAAATGCCGCTATATCTGTGCAAGTGCGTATTGCATATATAACTGTATATTAAAAGAAATATAATTAATTTAATATTTATAGCTTAACAAAAAACTGAAACAAAGGGAACAAAAAGAAAAGAAGCAACGTGGTGTTGTTTTTATTAAACATTTACCACATGGTTTTTTTGAAGAGCAACTTAAAAACTACTTTGGTCAATTTGGGAATGTAACACGTTTGCGTTTGGCACGTTCAAAACGATCAGGCGGTAGTAAGGGATATGCTTTTATTGAATTTGAATTTCCTGAAGTTGCTCAAGTAGCTGCTGAAACAATGGACAATTACCTGATGTTTCAGAAAATTGTCAAGGCCCAGTACATCCCACCAGAGAAGCAACGTTTTAATTTTTTCAAATCAACTGTTCGTCAAGTAAAGGATAAGGTACATAAAAAAACATATTTATATACGAACAGAAAAATATTTAATATTGATTTATGAATATAAATCTTAAGTCTTCGGTTTTATTTATTTCAATTTTCTTATAGCACTTTCTTATGGATTATAATTAGATTAGGTTATAATAGCAGTCCTAAAATTCCACTAACTACTATCTAGATCCTTTAATGTACCTCAAAATACTCTTTTAACAGACTAACAAACACTTGAAGGAAGATTCACTCTTCTAGTGTGATTACCTCTCAGGCAGTGATTGGTAATAAACCCACTTGTTCTTTCAATTATTTTCTTAGTTACTTTTATTCTTACTACTATACGCTACAAATTTGTAACTTATATATACATAAATTTTTTTTTTATCATATTTTAAACGCTTCTAAATATAAAAGTCTAATGAAAGCATTTCGAAATACTTTTCTATATATTGAATGGTGTTTTTCAACAGTTTCTACACAGTAAATAGTTTTATGTTTATACAAAAATTCTTTAACATAACTTTTGTAAACTAATTATACAAAAATTGTTATACAATGTATTTTACTCTTTTACAGACTGGAAAAAATATTTATGTCTCCTGTACCACGGCGAATATACGTCGTAAAGCTAAACAACATAATGATTGGTCAGATGTTAATTATCAAAAACGTACTGCAACAAAACTAAAAAAAATTAATAAATTAAACAAAAAGTATGCACATTTGGGAATCGACTTTTCAAAAATTATTGTTGGACCGAAAATAATCAATGCCTCAGATCAAACTACAAATGAATCCAATGAAGAAATAGAGAAAGTTGAGAAAGACAAAACAGCTGCTAGCAGCTCTAACTCCAAGCGAAAACTAACTGCAGATAATAAAAAAATTGCTGAAAAAATTAAAAAGCAAAAAAACGTAAATGAAAGTTTAAAACTAGAGGACTTGTTAGGTAATACGCTCAACGATGATTCCAACGACGAAGACTATGTTGCCAATGCAAAAGATGAAGATACATCAGATGAAGATAGTTATGGATTTTTGGCAGAAGATGATAATGAAAGTTTAAAAACCGAAGATTTATTAGGTAACACATTAAATGATGATTCAGACGATGAGGACTATGTTGCTATTCAAAAAGACACATCTCATGAAAATGATGATGATGATGATGATGATAATAATAACAGTAGCGATGAACTTAATGAAAGTCATGAACCGTTAGTTAAGCTTAAGAAAAACAAAAAAAATGAAAAGCCTTTAGCAAAATCTTTGAAAACAAAACGCACTGATCCATTTGAGCAGTTGATTAAACGTAAACCACTAAGTGGTGGCATAAAAAAAACTGGTAAAAAAAATCGAAAAGCGCCAACAGTTCTTAAACCTAAAAATATGAAAATGCTGAAAGCTGCTAAAGAACTGGCTAAGCCTTTGAAAACCATTAAGAATAAAAAAATTAAAACAAAAAATTTGTAATATATTAGTTGTAATTTATTTATAAATATGTCTTTTATAATCTGTTATGAAATTTCTCCTTTTAATAAATAATCATGTAAATTTTAATAAATATAATTTGTTGATATTTCACTACAAATTTCTTAATTCATTACTCAACACTGTCTTCGTTTCCAGTCTAAAACGCTTCCATTTCATACGTCTATTTTGAAACCAAACTTTAACCTACATTGGATTTTTGATAATATTTAATACTTTTTTATAAATATGTGTACTAAATACGTGTAATAATATTAAAAATTTTAATAACACTATACTTGCCTGTCTCTCAGTCAAATCTAGAGCTACAGCAATTTCATAACGGCGTAATCTCGTCAAATAGTTGGAATGTGAAAATTCAGCTTCAAGTTCCTTTAATTGTTCCTTTGTAAAAGCAGTTCTTTCTTTTCTGTTTGATGCAGTTGTTAGAATGGCACCACTTCTCAATTTTTCACACCTCTTTGATTCTGTAAATACGAAGTTAAAAAAAACCAAAGAAAGTAACGTATTATTTTGAAGTTATTAGTGAATTATTAAGTTTGTGCTCTAATATTTACGAAAAAAATTTGAACCACAGATACTTTTCAAGGATCAATAAAGATTGATCACTAAAGGGTCACCTCAAAATCGTTTATCGTTATTATTATAAGCTCTGGCAACTCTCTGCCACAACTACAGAATTTTGTGTCTAGTTCATCGATTCAGAATATTTCTCCTACTTACATTTTCTCGTAAAATAGTAATATAGAACCTTCTTTACACAATCTTAACTAAACATCCGATACACAATGCCCATTCACGTATTTTTTTCTTTAATACAGCATTCCTGTCACGTTTCTGTGGACTCATTCTGCTCCCTATAGAATCTACAAGTACCATCACATTAGATTGCTAGTTTTGTTAATAATACTTCAACCTACAGTGCGCTGTTAGAATTTCTGTTATAATTATTAACTCATTTTCATTACGTTACATAGAGCCCTGAAATCATAGCCAAGATATTCTACAATTTGCTTAGAACCCAAACGATCAGTTCACATATAATAATTCTGAAGTTATTGTTTTCCTATAGTAGCCGGATCTACATCACGTAACCTTTCATTCTCACCGACTGCCAAGTGCTACTCGCATTGCAAGAAGCAACGCCAACAAAATCCGTTCTCAAGATCTTATAATACTGTAGTTGTTAGTGTTAATTAAAAATCACTGAATTGGTCAAATCAACACTTAAGCGTATATGTTTAGCTTACTACCATCAAACACTGAATTCATGACAACATGTCACAAAAAATGCTTTAGGCATAATTTTCCTACTAAACTAGGCCTCTATTCTTATTCTTAGAAATTCTAGATTATAAAGATGTTACAGTAGCATCTCAACAAAAGTATATGAATAGTTTTACTGATAATAATCTAATCTTTCACGAGTGATAAATTTAGTGTCTGTAAAACTTTACGTATAAAAATTATATTTGAAAACATATCATTTCAATTTTCTTTCACTAGATTTACTGAGTCCATGAAAGGATTGCTATGATATACATTAGCATTAAATATTGGCCTTAATCTATAAACTACAGTTCTAATAAAACCTTTCTCTCTTAACACTAAACAACATCCATCTATCCATGATACAGAGATTTTTATTTAAGATGGATACCTCCAATATTCAAAATTGAGTCTTGAATTTCACACTACAAGGAGTTACTACTTTAGATAACGATAACTATCTCTGCAGGCCAACGAGAGGATGGATTCTTTATGCAGTATGCGACTGCATGAAATAAGTATGAATAATTGGAGAGCCGTTGTATTAGTTAGAGGAAATGAAATGTATTCAGCAAGAAAGCACTGACCCACAAAGTACTGAATGTGACGCTAAGTAGAAAGTTGAGGATGATCGCACTATACAACCATTTTCCCCAGCATAAACACAGCAGAATTGTAATCTACTTTCAGTTTGCTGAGTTCCTTGAAACTTGTTGGATCCAACGACAAGTTATGATATTATAAATGTTATTATTTTTTAATGTTTTGTTTTGTTGAAAACTGAAATGATCGCTATTTTAAAAAGGTTATAAATTTTTACTTCCATCTTTTGTATTAAAATATATTAGTCAATTAAACTCAACCCCCACTCAAAAGAAAGGAAGCACTATGGTATGTTTATACATATATATAACAGTGATTAATGTATTATGACTGTTTAATAAGATACAAATTTTGTATTAATATAAAAATGTATTAATTTAGCTGAAAGCCTCTAGCGAAGTAACGGGTTATTACGCGGATTAAAAATAATTTCTTGAAAATCTCTGCTTATATTTGAAATAATTTATTCTTTTGGAAATATTGTAATAATTGTATGATCTTATGCTTTTAAATATGTAAATAGTTTAATGATTTTGAAATAGTTTAATAGACTTACCTCTTACATTTTTGAACTGACTTTTATTATCTATAGGATTTGATAATATTGTAATATTATCATAGTTTTCCAATGGAAAGAAATCATCTGCAGAATTGTTGTACCAATCTGTATATGCATTGATGCATCCGTAAAGATCGCTGGAGTTAAGAATGTTTTTCTGTATACAATTAGACGTTTTCTCAAGATCAGATTGACTTTCTATGGAATTTGTAGCCATTATCGGACAATTTTGTCCCAAATAGTTTTGTAAGTTATATGTTTTCCTTTTTAGTTCGTAACAACAAGAATAGTGAATATTCTCACTATTTGATGGAAAATTCACTGCGTTATCACTTCTAAAATAAAAATCATTTAAATTTGTGTACATTTCAACAATTTGATCCTTGTGATGACACGACAATACAGCGTTAGAGCTCGGCATAAACTAAGAATTCGACATCACATAATAATAGAACTACACTATATTTCTCACAACATATGAAGTTTGTATTCCTATTGGTTTGTATACTTAAAATCGACATCTGATTGGTCAATATGGTTATTCACTTATGAATAAATATGTCGCTGTGGCTTCGACCCCCGTGCCGCTTGTCAACTCATACGACAATTTATGAGCTGTTATGAAAGGAAGGCACTTATAAAGACAAGTGCTTGTTTGCTTAACGATCACATCTTTTTCTTTAACTCTAAAAAAATACAAACATATTTTTACTTATTCACTCGCAATAAAAATATAGACATCAAAATAAATAAACCGAGAGGAAGTGTTTTTTATGTAATATGTGGAGTAATAGTTTTAAGTATTTTTTATTTATTTTGAAAAGAAAACTCTAGAATGTGGAAGTAAAACTCATTACTTCCTTAAGGAAGCTAACATCTTCTTAAGTTGTCTCAATGCACCAAGCAAACTAAACACATATTAATTAATGATGTGCAATTGTTCGCTTCTTTTAAAATTTGTGCCACATTTGCAGCGATTCTATCGTTTGCTTTGATTTAAAACCGCCCACTAAGCCTGAAGACAGAGTTTCAGTAGATATGTAGAATATGTGTCACTTGTACATTAAGAGATTTCATTATATAACAAATAATATGGACTTTATTGTTTTTTTATTAAATATCATTTATATTAGTATAGTCTTACCATTTGATATATTGTAAGCTAGGCATTATGTTAGAATATATATATGTATATATATATAAAGTATTATAGTTCAGAGGTTCAATGCAGTAGTTTTGCTTTTTAAGTACTGTTTAATAGCTGTCATGCTAAGCAAAACCTTATAATATATACTAAAAACAAAAGTATAGGAACATAGTATCTTATAGACTTATTTTTTACCTAGTCAAATCCTAGAAAGTTTCATTGTTGAACAAATAAAAATCAAACAAGTGCTTTATTTTATTTAATTTTTTTTTTTTTTTTGATATTTGCTTTTCAATATTATTTGCCATTACATTTTTCATTGCTTAAAATTAAATTTCTCTAAAAAATTGGTATGGCTAAGTATAGTTTATATATACTTTTATATCTATATTTTCTCCGGTGATACTTTTTCAATGGTTAGCCACCACTCTGTCCGGGTATTGGCGTTCCACAATATACTGAGGTCATGGCTTTGTCACCATGATTTGGTTACGACGGCATGACAGAGACAAATATCCTGTTTGGTTGAGAAAACTGGAGGTTTGAACAAAAAAAAAATATACAGATAAATTAATTTATTTCTACATTTGTGTCTACGAATTGTTTTTATTTTTGTTCGAAACTAATTTAGATCCACGGCTTTATTTCTCTTTATTTTTATCAAAACTTGCAATCGTAATTGATATATTGAAGTGTTTCGATGCAGCATTCACTTAGTCAATAATTTAAAAAGAAAGTACAAGATTAACTCGCACATCTTTGCTGGTATTTTATAACGATTCCGTATAAAATTTATAACTTATACCTATATGCTTATCAAAAAAAAAACATAAAAATTAGTTAAATATAACAGTCTAAACTCTAAAAACTGTTAGTTTATTTTATAACATCATAATCATAAATGTAAGTGTAAACATAGTATAAGAAGAACTAAAAAGTTGATCATCTAATTAATTTTATTATTTTTCAACAAAACTAAACCGTGCGAATCCTTGAAAAATCGATGGGACAATAATTTATTTTATTTATAATTTATAATTTATTTGGCAAAATAATTTATTTCGTACAATTAAACGCACAACGTTGTCTTTTATAAACTTCGTCTCGTGCTCATTGTGTTTGCAGCATAACCATAACCATTATTGTTAACAATTTGCATATCTTGAGTATTTTTTTACCATTCGTGGAAATTTAGTCGTTAATGATTTTGAACTCCAAAAGTTCACCGAGTAAAGTAGTTATTAATAAATTATTCTACCAGCAACAGATAAATAGGAAAATACCAAAACTCATATTCAACTTGAAAATTTCTATGGAATCTTCTAAGTAGCTATTTTTAATAGAGATATTCAGACCGAACTCTGTAAGTCGTTATTTAATAAGTTACCTTTTGTTTTGTTTTTTAAAAATAGAGATTTTATGGACACAACGATATCATGTGGGTAATATTATAATAAGATTAATTATTATATATAGTTTATTGAATACCAAATTTTCATTCTTTTGCAATTACTGTATAAAATTATTAAGAACTAACTAAAATATTAAAATGTTTTTTTTATCTAATTTTACAAAACAATCATATAAATCACATTATTTATTTTAAATATATAAAGTATTCAACGAAGATGAATCTATGTACTCTACAAAATTTGTTGTTTACTCCATCAAACATAGTACAGCATGAGTGATGATAAAACATAAACACAAAGCAAAATCTAAGAAGCCAGTCAACCCTGTGTTGTGTGCTGAACGTTTTGTGTTCCTTAAGTGAGCGTAGCTGAAATCATTACTAACTAAAATTGATTTGTGTTGAGGCGGTTGGTGAATTTAACAATTTGTTGTGCATAAAAACTATTATCTATGTTCAATGGAGCCTTTTAATGTCAACCATGAACCGCTGGATAATTGGACATTACGGGAGAAACTTGTGTTGGTTTCCACGATGTCGATAAATGTAGGACAAGACTGGAGCACTGTTAGCAAAAAGGTAAAAGATTATTGCGGCAAAAAAATTAAAAGGCCGGATGACTGGTTTTCACCAACGCAATGTCAATTGCAATACACTGAGATTTTACTTCGAATGGGTTTGAGTAACTGTCCCACTATGGAAATAGAGAACATAGATTACGCTAAAGTCGATGCGGCAAAACGTAAACTGACCGACGAACATATGGTAGTTGTGCAAGTTGACATGCGGCGACAGCAGGAAGAGTACGCTCAAATACATGAATATAGAAAAATTCTTGCTTCAAATAATGCTACGGAAGAGGAGAGGATGAAAATTTGGGTATTTATTAATCAAAAAAAAGACGCGAAACGTATTGAGGAAATGAAATTAGAAAATCAAATGCGAGAAAGAGACCAAAAAAGAAGAGAAGCGATACGTAACTGGCAAACTACTCCTCCAGGTATTGTTGTACATAAACCTGAACCAGACACGACCGCTGTTGATATG